TCTCTCTCTCTCTCTTTCTCTCTCTCTCTCTCTCTCCCCTCATCCTCTCATTTCTAACTATCAAGGCACAGTTGTGAAGGACAAAGTACTTCTACAGTTACTAGCCCGATACGCTCTCATTTTGTTGCGGCAATGGTTCAGAGTATCACTTGTGCTTAATGCATTCATGAACCGAACAGAACATCTCTGTAATGAATCGTTCCCAAAGAGTCTGATAAGACAGTTTTTGTGATTGTTTAAAAGGGAAAAGCTTTCCTACTTATTATTGTCCCTATACCTCCCATGCCATCTGTTGCTGTTCTGTGCTGTGTACTCTCATCGCTTTTCGTCCATAATATTATTTTTGAAGTGTTAACGGTCTGCAGAGTAAAGTTGACTTCTCGCACTTGTGTGTGTGTGTGTGTGTGTGTGTGTGTGTGTGTGTGTGTGTGTGTGTGTGTGTGTGTGTGTGTGTGTGTGTGTGTGTGTGTGTGTGCATGTCTGAGCAAACGTCTCAGTTGTTCAAGTGAGACTTTTCACCGTTCGAAGAATCTGATAATCCTATGTTCTGTTTATTGTACGACATGTACTTTCAAATCCACGGTTCGGTTGGTGAGCTGGGGGGGGGGGTCACGTGATAAGAAAGTATGCAATCAGACGTTGCCTTTTCTCTCCCCCATTGTGGAGTGACTGTTATTTTTATTAGGCTGCAATTCAGATTCTTTCACTTTTGATTACTCCCTGATCAATGTTAATTCATGCTCTTGTGTCTAAACAGTAACGATGTTCTCAAAAATAAATCCCTCACACACACGCACGAGTGCAACCCCCCCCCCCTCTTTTCTTAACCCATCCAAACACACACGGCGCGCCCGCGACCAAACATACGTATGGGGCTCTCGTGGTCTATGGGAGTTCGCCTCTCATTCAATAGGCCCCAGGTTTGAAACCTGACAGCGGCACAAAATTTTCTTCTTAAAAATTTTCTTCTTTCGCCTCCTTTCCTGCTCTTTAACCATGTTCTGTCGTTTTCTTTCGTTTCCACTTTCTGCCACCTCCCCTTTCCCTTTGCCCCCTCCTCTGGGCTCCTGGCTCTTTCTGCAGCCGTTCTTCTGCTAATCTTTTTGGCCCCTTCTTATTGCTGTCTTTCAGCCACACTCCTGATCTTACGGTTAGAAAGATATAACACCTAGCCTTCTCGGATAAGGGCTAACAATCTCGGAGGTCACGTTTGTAAGTTGTGCACGTTAAAGATCCCTTGATGGTCCTAAAATCGATAAGAGCAGGCTGCAGCCGCCACCCATGCAAAATTCAAAATTCCTACCAAACTGAAAATGTTTAGTGTGACCCGCGCGCTCATGTGATCGTATGCAGTTGCGAGTGCCGTAAAACTCTTACCAAAACAACAACAAAACGTTCGTACACAAATGAAGGGAAATATCCCATCACGACTCACACAATCACCGGCACGATGAAATATTGTTCACAGTTGGATCTCCTGCTACCGGGTAAATCTAGTTATCTACCTCATCACCATTAACAACAACAACAATGACTACTACAACATCTGTAGCCGAGGTGGTGATAAATTTAAAGTTTTGACAATGTGCATTCTGGTCTCTTTACAACGATTGAAGACACGCTGTTCTGGGTCATTTTTAAAAAAAGAAACATTACTTTGTACATTAAAACTGATTTTTCAGTTCTATTTTCTTTTAACTGAAACCTAAAATGATTACACTCTTACAATGAAATAAAAGTTCCTGATTAGTGTATGTATCATGATTCGAAATGTGTCTCAACATTTTAGTCTGCCGCTGATCGGACATAACAAGTGTCCGCTACATCTTTAAAGAGTTAAAGTCCCGTCTGTTATGTCCTCTATGGTAGCAAAAAAAAAAAAAAGAGCATAAATGCAGATCTACCCAAGATATTATGTCCGGACACAGTTCGAGTGCTCCTGCCTGGAAGGTTTCGAAGGGATCACTTGCCAGAAGCGGATAGACCCGTGCGGGAGAGAGCCTTGTCTCAACGGCGGAGTCTGCATGCCCAAGGGGGAGTACTACCACTGCATCTGCCCGGAGGAGTTTCAAGGTGAGCAAACAGACACACAGACGCACAGAGAGAGAGAGAGAGAGAGAGAGAGAGAGAGAGAGAGA